CCTCTACAGGTAACACGTTCCTCTGCCCCACAAATATTTGACAATCGATCCCCCAGAATAAATACATTTTGTTTCATTATTATCGTCACATTAAAGTTAAAACACTGATGTTGCATTGATGCACCTGCAGAGAACCCGCAGCCCTCAGTTCAGGTGGGTGTGTAGCCTCCAGCCTGTAACAACAGGGTGTGAGTGGGGACGTAGCAACCAGGTGTTAGGTGGTAACCAAGAGGAAGCTACGAGGAGGAGGAGCTGACTTTAAACACTTACCAACCTTCTGCCTTTAATGTTTGCTTCCTGCAGTGAGAACAGTCTCTCTGTAACTCGAGTTGACACATCAGATTCGCCTTTCACAACCTGACCAGTTCCTCATGCAGCCTTTGATTTGCTCAGACAGGAAACTGATCAGTTCTTCTGTAACTAAACATCAGTTATTACTGTAACACTGGTTCTCATCCAGAGATTAATTTTACTGTTATTTAACTGACTAAAAGTTGAATTAGAGATTGTATACTATTGACAATCTGCAATAATAATAATAATGACTCTGATTATCAAATATGGAACGGTTTAAAGGAACTGACACTGGTTCGTCTGACTCTTTATTCTGTGTTTATGTAGGAAATTAAAGTGTTTTTAACTCTGTTGTCTCTGTGTGACTCTTTTCTCTCTCAGCTGGCTTTAGCCATCGCAGATCTCGCCCTTCAGATGGCCTCGTGGAAAGGATGTGTTCACACGCTCATAGAAAAGTAAGAACTCACATAACGGCAGAAGCGCTTACACAAAGAACGAGTCTTTACAGCGTAGGCTTATGTTTAACCCCTCTGATTCACCTGTCCGTGTCTCCGCCCCCTCTCAGGTACAACAATGACATCAGCTCGATGCCCTTCCTCATAGAGATTCTCACTGTGCTGCCGGAGGAAGTCCACAGTCGATCTCTACGAATCGGAGCCAATCGTAGGACAGAAATCATTGAGGATCTGGCGTATTACTCCAGCACTGTGGTGACACTGCTGGTCAGTTATCTCACTCTTTTACTCTTTTATATCATTCTATCATATTTTATTAATGCAGTGCAGAGCTATTCACCTGTATTATGTAGGGAAATACAGGGATTAGATTAGAACATTTAAAATCTTCTTAATTCTTACAAGCCTTACTACTTTATGCCAGTAGGGGGCGCTATGAGTGCGACTGAACATTGGCATGTAGCTGTGTTCAGGGTGGGACTCTCATCAAACACGAGACGTTTGGTGGAGACAAAACTACACTGAAGTTATGACAACTTCGTGCCACGCCTTTTAAAAGACTTTTAATCGTGATGGTCTTTAGAGTGCGCTGACGAGATCTGAAGTCGATTAATTCCCCAGGAGGAGTTTATTACAATGTGTTGCCCAAAATGTCCACTAAACTCAAAATGGCTGACTTCCTGTTTGGTTTTCATACATATTGGTAAAACATGTGTTTAGGGGGCGTGGCACAATGTCCTGGCCACGCCCCCTAAACAGCCACACGCAAGAACCATAAAATACGTAAATTAATACGGACATTTTTGCAACCGCTGAGTGTGAGTCACCTAAATATCGTAGAAGGACGTTATTAAAGCGTTTACAGGGGTTCCTACGCGTCCTGGAAAACCTGGAAATTGATTAAAATGACAAAATATTCTGGAAATAATCTGTGCTGACCCGTCACTCAGATCGCTAATGTAAACCTGGGTGCGTATGGAGTTTAAAACTCTTGGCGGTTGTCAGACGTCCAGTGGAACGGACTTGTAACGATCTGATTCCTCAGACGAGAAGACGACCCTGATCATCATCGTCACGCTGTTTGTGTTTTTCTTTTCAGACGACGTGTGTGGAGAAGACGGGTATTGATGAGAAGATGTTCATCAAGGTGTTTCGCTGTTTGGGAAGCTGGTTCAACCTGGGAGTCCTCGACACAAACTTCATGGCCAGTAACCAGCTGCTCATGGTCCTCTTCCAAGTCCTGGTGAGTTTCACTGTTTTATTCTGCTTCCTGTTGACAAACCGGACAGGAACTATCCGACGGACTGATGTTCTTCTGTCTCCACAGCAGAGGGATGAAACCTCCACCAACCTCCACGAGGCGGCGTCGGACTGCGTCTGCTCGGCTCTCTACGCCATAGAAAACGTGGACACCAACATGGCGTTGGCTCTGCAGCTGTTCCAGGGCGTCCTGACGCTGGAGACGGCGTATCACATGGCTGTGGCTCGAGAAGACCTCGACAAGTGAGGACACACAGGAACCTGGTCCCGATTGATTCAGTGTTCGATATCAGTGTCATCAGGTTCATTCATGTTTGACTTCTGTCCTCAGAGTGCTGAACTACTGCAGGATCTTCACCGAACTCTGCGAGACATTTTTAGAGACCACAGTCAGGAGTCCAGGTCAGGGTATGGGAGACCTGAGGACACTGGAGCTGCTGCTGATCTGTGCAGGACACCCTCAGTATGAGGTACAAAAATACCCACAACATCAGTAACATTACCACTACACCTCCCCCAGTACAGGGTATAAAAATACCCACAACATCAGTGACATTACCACAACACCACAGTACATCCACAATACGAGGTACTAAAACACTCCTACTGTGATCCAGGTTCTGGAGATCTCCTTTAAGTTATTATAATTTTTGTCTTTGTGTTCTGGTCCAGGTTGTGGAGATCTCCTTTAACTTCTGGTACCGCCTTGGAGAACATCTGTATAAAATTAACGATGCAGCTCTTCACACCATCTTCAGACCGTACATCCAGAGACTTCTGCACTGTTTGGCCCGACACTGTCAGCTCGATCCAGACCACGTAAGTCCCCCGATCCAGTCTCCACAGAACCAGAGACGTTGATCTGAAGTCTGGATTCAAACACTTTTTGAAATGTTTGTTATAAATAAAGTTGTTTTTATTGGACAGGAGGGAATCCCAGAGGACACCGATGATTTCGGAGAGTTCAGGATGAGAGTCTCTGACCTCGTTAAAGACGTCATCTTTCTCGTTGGATCCATGGAGTGTTTCTCTCAGGTACCTTTTAGTTTTAATCCACAAATCAACAACAACAAAACTCTGTTCTCTGTTCTCACTGATGTTCTACGTTAAAATCCGTTCTGTTTCTTCTCAGTTATATTCTACGTTAAAAGAAGGGAACCCTTCCTGGGAGGTGACGGAGGCCGTTCTCTTCATCATGGCTGCGATTGCTAAAAGTGTTGATCCGTGAGTATCTGAGTCACTTTATCATCCAGAGCAGGAAGTACAAATGGGAATGTGAGGCTCACCTGTTCCTGAAGTGCTGCTGTAAACTGAGACACTAACGTCAGCTGTCCCTGTCAGTTAGTCAGTCAGTCGTTACTGCTGTCGGCCGTTACTGTCAGTTACAGTACGAGCAGCTTGTTTCACTCCACTTCTCCAACTTACTTAATCTGACATTATGTGTGTTTGTGTAATTCATTCATTTTACACCCAAATCACACCACTGATTCATTCAGAGACTAAACACAACCTCTTTCAGATGGTTTAATTAAGATATCATCAGTCTCTATAGAATGACTATAAAGGGTTAAAGAGAGAGGAATACTTGAGGTTAAGCTGCGTCCTCTGACTCTGTTTGTGTTTATCTTTCAGAGAGAACAACCCAACGCTGTCGGAGGTGTTGCAGCAGGTGGTTTTACTTCCAGAAAGCGTCCACATGGCGGTTCGTTATACGAGCATCGAGCTGGTCGGAGAGATGAGCGAGGTCGTGGACAGAAATCCAAGATTCCTCGGTACGAGCTCATCGTTTCAAACTTGAACCTGCTGCTGGGTTTCATCTGTGGTTCACACTGATGGTTAAGGGTTGAACTGTGTTCTGTCTGTGTGCGAGTCTGTCTGGGTTTCACTTCATCAATAGAAAACAAACCACGACTGAGAGCTTATGAGGAGACGCCTTAAAGTCCAGGTGAAACAGAAATCAGAGAGCTGTTTGCTTCCTCATATTTATATAAAAAGGAGGGACTTGTTGCAGACATGTGGCAGTCCAGCAGCTGCAGTGGATCCATTAGCTGACTCTGTTTTACTGGGAGCTTCCAGTGAACAGCAGGTTCAGACCGGGACTGAATGCAGCATCGGATGCTGACGGAGACAGTTTGACTGCAGGGAATAAAGGACTGAGTTGGTTTTATTGTTGCTTTTGGCTCCTGACACCCCGGGGTTAAGTCAGCTAACTTTATAACTAGCTAACAGCATCTGACATTACCGTTATTATTATCAGTTAGTTCATTAAACAGAGGAACAATATAACTGAGGATGTGATCTTAAAGGGTTAAAATTACACTTTTTATTTCAGCTGGACTTTAAAGTGCAAGTCACAAAAGTAAAATGTGCAGCATTAGCTGTCTGAAGGCTGTGGACGTTTCCACTGTAACTGCAGGAATAAACATTGATTTTAAGGTCAGACACTCTCTGCTGCTTTGTGTTTAATGTGTGAACAGACTGTTTGTTTTGCCTCCGTCGCTGCAGATCGAGCTGCAATAACTTCCATAAGTTCGTCGGTGCTCTAAAGTCAGACAGCATGCGAACTAAAACATCTAATGCAAGAATGAGTGGTGCACACAGATTCACTGTAAACTGGTTTATTTCCTTTTTATAAACTATCAGTTGTTTGTCAGTGGATTACCTGATTGATCTCTTCCTCTTCCTGTCAGACCCGGTGTTGAACTACCTGATGAAAGGTCTCAGAGAGAAACCTCTGGCGTCGGCAGCGGCGAAGGCGATCCACAACATCTGCTCAGTGTGCAGAGACCACATGGCTCAACACTTCCAGGGTCTGCTGGACATCGCTCGCGCCCTCGACTCCTTCGCCCTGTCCACCGAGGCCGCCGTCGGGCTGCTCAAAGGTACTGCGCCTGTAGATTTATCTTCTCAACCTGTCTGCTTACTTCACAGTGAACTAAGTTAAGATAGCCGGAAATACAAGTAATTTAAAAGTTGTTTGCTTGCAGCGAATAAACTTGTGTCAATAATGCATCTGGAGCTCTTCTGCCCACCACTGACCGTTCTCCAAAGACCTCTTCCTGGCTGATCAGGGACCAGCATCGGCTGCCGATCGACATTTGTCTAAACTATATTGATTTGTTTGTTGTTGTTTACCTGCACAGGGACAGCTCTGGTCCTGGCTCGTCTTCCTCTGGAGAAGATCGCAGAGTGTCTCAGTGATCTCTGTGCTGTTCAGGTCCTGACTCTAAAAAGGGTCTGTTTCAGTCTAAATATTTCAATCAGTTTCTAATATTAATGATTTATTGATTGTATTTAATAGAAGATGAGCACAAACACAAACATTCAAACTAAAACCAGTTTTTGTTTTGGGGGGTTTCAGCTTCTGGCTGAAGAATCTACAAATGGTAAATCAGCTGATCCCACCGTCTGGCTCGACAGACTGGCTGTTATCTTCAGGTGAGTTTACCTGTTGTTTGACCTGTAGTCAAATATATTATTCAAACTTTATTTAAAGTAGGAAGCAGCAGACAGTGAACAGTGTGTTTGTGTTTCATTCAGACACACAAACCCCATCGTGGAGAACGGACAGACGCACCCCTGTCAGAAAGTCATCCAGGAGGTAAAACACCGGAACTCACCTGAACTCACCTGCAAGAGCCATTTGAATATTTACACATACAAATGATTTTATTTATAACTTTAATCATGTGACACACAGGTCAGACCAGATATGTTACTTTTATCTGCATCATGTGACTCACCTGTACTGCCCTACAGAGGCTGACTGCAGTAACTACGCTAACAGTGAAACTGGTTTTTGACTGAACAGCAGTTATGTTCTAACCCTAACCCTGCAGATACTCTTTGTATTAGCATGAACAGATCTATAGGTAGTGCAAAGGCAGCTCAGTTTATAACCCACAGATGGAGTCAGTCACAGTTCCCAGTGGAGGATTTACAGACGCTGAAGCTGTTTGGTTGTAGGTTCGATTTAGTAGTTTCTGACAGTTATCTCAGTTCCCACCGTGAGCAGGCACTTGGTGACAGCGGCAAGGAAAAAACATCTTGGCAGAAACCTCGAGCGTCTGAAGCGTTGTACATACCTCACCTGTGTGATGTGACTCACCTGTAGATTTGGCCGGTGCTGTCCGAGACTCTGAACACTCATCAGGCTGATAACAGGATTGTGGAGCGATGCTGTCGCTGTCTCAGGTTTGCTGTAAGATGCGTCGGGAAAGGCTCCGCCTCCCTCCTGCAGCCGCTCGTCACTCAGGTGAGTTTTCAGTGTTTGTTTTCCTGATGTGTGAGCAACAGGTTGACCAGACACATCTTAATTCAGTAGTGTATCTACCTGTTCACTTGTTGTAACACACCTGTTGATTCTCATTGGATGGTTGTTGTCATCAGATGGTGAGTGTGTACCAGGTGTATCCACACTCCTGCTTCCTGTACCTGGGCAGCATCCTGGTGGACGAGTACGGCATGGAGGAGGGCTGCAGACAGGGACTGCTCGACATGTTACAGGTAAACACTGCAGACCAGGTAGACACTCACCTGTCCACCATGTAAACACATGATGTTGACATGATGACCTCGTCCTGTCCCTTCAGGCTCTGTGTATGCCGACCTTCCAGCTGTTGGAGCAGCAGAATGGTCTGAGGAATCATCCAGACACCGTGGACGACCTGTTCAGACTGGCCACCAGGTGAGTCTGCAGGTTCACCTGCACAGACAGGTTTCTGACTCAGGAACGTCCTCTGATGTCTGTCTGTCTATCTGTTCAGGTTTGTCCAGAGGAGTCCCGTCACTTTACTCAGCAGCAGCATCATCGTTCACATCATCCAGTGCGCCATCGCTGCCACCTCATTGGACCACCGAGACGCCAACTGCAGCGTCATGAAGTTTGTCCGAGATCTCATCCACACCGGCGTCGCCAACGACGTGAGTCAGCGGAAATAAACATTCACATTTTGGGATGAATCAATGTACTGTTCCACCCTTCGCCAACATGATGATAATGTCTTTCTGCAGCACGAGGAGGACTTTGAGGTGAGGAAGCAGCTGATTGGTCAGGCCATGGAGCAGCACGGTCAGCAGCTCGTCACTCAGCTGATGCACTCGTGTTGTTTCTGCCTGCCGCCGTACACGCTGCCCGACGTGGCCGAGGTGCTGTGGGAGGTCATGGTGTTTGACAGACCTGTGAGTATGAACCATAAGTCGTGGTCAGGTGTGTCACCTGTCGGTCCTCAGGTACTGACGTCCTCCTTTTGTTTCAGACGTTCTGTCGCTGGTTAGAAAACGCTCTGAAAGGTTTACCGAAGGAGACGTCAGGAGGAGCTGTGACTGTCACTCACAAACAGCTGACTGACTTCCACAAACAGGTCACCAGGTGGGATACCAACAACACCTGTAACACCTGTAACACC